TTCTCTACTGACATTGCCTCTCTGTTCCTGATCCAACGCCAAGTCTTCACCTCGCAGAACATGAGAAAAAGAGCCGCAGGGTAGTGTGCCGCACATCCGGCCCTGGTCCTAGTCAACCGCAAGCTCACGCGCGGGGATCACTAATACCAACTGGTAAATGGATCAAGTTCCAACACGTGCGGATGATCTCTTTTTGCAGCTTGCAAGGACTCAATTCCATAGCGTAACTTGCAAGATCAGTCAAGGAAACGGGGAATAATTTTCCATCCAATCACCCGCAACGGTGGATCGTCTGAACTCGCGTTTGTTTGCCTATCCCCCTTTTGGGACACCCCCTGACTCCTACACTCCCCTCTCCCCTCCGCAATTGAGGCTGTTCTTGCCCACCGAGACCAACGTCAGTAAGCCGTTAAGATTCGGCCTCTCCTTACCTGATACTAGTCTCATCTCCGCAAAAAACCACCACCATCCCGGGAATCCCAACCCAACTCAAAAAAAATTCCCAAGAAAATCTGCGGGTGTACCATTTTCGATATGCTCTCACCCGGGAGACCGATGTTACCCTTCCTCTCCATTGTGGACCCCTCATTATGAGAGGGTCCCACGACTCGGGGGCGAAGCTTTGAGATGTTTATAACAACCCGGCTCGGCCGCCGTGATAGCTTGAGTCGCTACTGAGCTGCTCACCCTCTCTCTCAACGTCAACCCACGGTCTCTACATTCTTCGCCGCCGTCATGCTGTACCGCAACCTGCTGCCAGTGGCTTTCTCTCTCGCGGCCCCCGCGCTCGCGCAGACGACGAAATGCGTTATTTCGCCCTCCAGCAATGCGACATCGGACGCGGCTGCCATCGCCGAGGCGTTCACCAAGTGCGCTAGCAATGCCGAGATCATCTTCCGTGAGGGCGTCGAGTACAAGGCCTACGAGCCGATTGTCGCCACCAAGCTTTCCAACGTCGTCATCACCGTCAACGGCAACATTACTCTGCCCGAGGACATCCCCACCGTCCAGGCTCTTGTTTCTGCCAAGGGCGGCACGCTCACATGGTTCCAAATCGGCGGCACCAACGTCCAATGGATCGCCTCAACTGACGTATGTTTTTCTGACTGTGATACCCTAACAATATCTCAATTGATACTCATAATCCTCTTCTACAGCCTCACGCCGGATGGATTAAGTCCCATGGACAAGCCTGGTGGGACGCCAACAAGCCCGGCGAGGCCGGCACGCCCAACCGGCCCCATCTCATGCAGTTCAGCGTCACCAATGGCATCATGAAGAACATGAAGTCCCTCAAGCCCATCGGCTGGAACTTCTCCATCAAGGGCAAGAACATCACAATCTCCGACACCGTCATCGACGCCCGCTCCGAGACGAGCAGTTTCCCCTTCAACACAGACGGCTTCGACGTCGGCGCCACGGACGTGACCATCACAAACAGCAACATCTTCAACGGCGACGACGCCATCGCCATCAACGACGGCGCCAACAACGTCCTCTTCAAGCACGCCACCATCGGCTTCGAGACCCACGGCATGAGCGTCGGCTCGCTGGGCTCAAAGGTCGCCTCTGTAGCTGATGTGAAGAACATCCGCTTCGAGGACGTGGATGTCCACGGCGGGCTGTATGCTGCGCGCTTCAAGAGCTGGATTGGTGGGCAGGGGTTGGCGAAGAACATTACCTGGAGCAACATCCGCCTCGACAACGTTACCTTCCCCATCTTTGTTACGCAGACCTACTTCAACCAGGCGAGCGCTGGCGGCGACAGGCCCAACAACTCGTCCGTCATGATGGAGGACTTCACCTGGGAGCACTTCTCCGGCAGCATCAACACCAACAACCCTGGTGACGGATCCTGCACCACAAACGTAAGTCTTTTCTCTCACACCTCACACGTCTTAAGATGTTCGATTTGCGACGAGTGCATCGATGCTGACAATGATACGCAGCCTTGCTGGTACAACGCTGGACTCCCTAACCTCACCCACACCGAGGCCGTCATCATTGAGTGCAACACCCAGACGTCTTGCAAGAACTTCCAGACCAGAGACATCAAGATCCACCCCCAGAGCTGCGGCGCCCCCAAGCTCATCTGCATGAACGCGATGCCGACGCTCAACCCTAACCTCGGCTTCGAGTGCGCCAACGGCACATTCGCGCCCACCGCATGAATGGAGTTTGCGTGTGTGTTATAGCATAGTAATAGTAATCAACCTTCAAGTACATTGATCAGTCTTTCGATTCCTTCTCATGAACGCAAGATGAGTGTGATATTCGCCCACGTTTCGTTTGACAGCCTCCAGCGCAATACCGCCTTACACCTTTGCGGTTCTGCGCTTCAAGTGACAGACAACTCCCTTTGTCCGGTAAAACCACCGCGAGCTAGTCCACCATTTCTCATTCGGATCCACGAGCTCAATCTCGAATCTCGAAATCAACGACGGAACAACCTTGTACACCTCCATCTGACTCAAATTCCTTCCAAGACAAATACGCGACCCCCCGCCAAACGTAATATCCGCCGCGTTCCACTGCCTCATCCGCAGCTTGTACGCCTCCGCGCCCTCAGCCTCCTGCCGCAGCCAGCGCTCGGGGCGGAACTCGTCGGCGTCCTCGCCGTAGACACTCTTGTTGCGGCCCACAATGTACGGGTTCATGCCGACGAGGGAGCCGCCGGGCACGACGGAGCCGTCGGGGAGCGCAAGGCCGCCCTCGGGGACGATGCGCTCCATCGTCATGGATACGGCTGGGTGGTAGCGGGTCGTTTCACGGCAGACTGCTTCGAGGTAGGGGAGGGCGCGGGCGGCGGAGTGGGATGCCGGCTTGTCACTGGGGATGTTGGCTACGACTTCGGCTTCGAGGCGCTTCCAGATGCGGGGGTTCTTGAGGCAGTAGTAGAATAGGGCGCGCATGGTGATGGCTGTTGTGTCAGCGCCGGCGATTACTGTAATCTTGCATCAGCCCTGTTCCCATCGAACACAATCTTGACAGACGGGGTAAGTGTAGAACGCACAGTTCAACAGGAGGTACCCAATGATTGTACCCTCATTGACAATCTCAGGATGCGTTCCCTTGGAATCGATGAAATATTGCAGGAAGTCCGGCTTCTCGGGCGTAAAGTTTGTATCTTCGCCTTTGAGGCGCTCAGTCATGTTCTCAACAGCGATTCTGGTCACGTTGGAGATGTTTGGCGGGCCGAGAGGATAGACCGGGTTCTTGTCGAGCCAGTAGTCCGTCCACGGCATCTGACCGCAGAGGCCGAGGTAGTCGATCGACTGGTCTCCGATGGCTAGAGTGCCGTCAAAGTCGCGGCCTGCGTCCATGTAGCCAAACTTCTTGCTGAATGTGACGTAGCCGAGGAAGTCCCATGCATCTGTGATTCGAATGTCAGAAAAAGGGTACTAGACTAGATAGTAGGCCCAAGAAAGGTGCGATGGCAGTTGTGCTTACAGTATGCTAACCAGTCACCAAAGTCGCAAGTCTTGCCAGTGTCGACGAATCGGCTTTGAAGATGATCGCAAAACTCGTCAATGACCTGATCCATGTGTGGCTCCATTGCGAGCACGCTGGGGACGGAGTAGTGTCGGACAACCGGCCTCTTCAATCTGGCGTGCTCGACATTGTCGACTTCGCTGAACATGTGATATGTGATCTTGCCATTGATTATGGATTTGCTGTTCTGGTAAAAGTTTGACTGGAAACGATTGATAAGTTTTTGAGTGTTCTGGAAGTCGTTTGGCGAACCTACCTTTGTCCATTTTCCGTCGGTGCTGTAGATGACCTTGACCAACTCTGGTATGTCAATGTCTAGGAGATTCGGGCCCAGTCGTACTACGGGCCCGTACTTCTCATGGAGCTTCTTCATTCGAGGGGCATAGTCGGCTGAGATGACTTGCCAAAGACGCCATAGGTTGGTCCATCCTAGGGCATGGTAAGTATTGTTCGCATCACAGATAGTCTCTTCCGTTCTGTGGATAGACGGAAGTCTGTAGGTAAAAACTTTTGTGACTGGACTGACCTGCTAGGAAAGGACCAGGGTATCTTTTCAGTGAAGAAGTCTGCCAGGAGGCGAAGAACCAGAGAACGATGCCGATAGTAGGAGTGAGCAACACGATGCTCGCCTTATGGGATTGAGCATTCGTCAAGACGGACTCCCACGAGGACGATGTCCCGTTAGTAGACGAAGGCAGAGAATCCATAACAATGAGTGAGAGCTGTTGCAACCACGAACATGAGTCGAGAAGGCCCGGTATGTGTTATGATTGAAAAAGGAGAGGAACAAATGACAGTCAGGGTATTGAGAATCAACGTGCCCTCGGGTTCTATAAGCGAGTCGGCAGAAACGACGAGGGAGGCAGCGACACGAATTGTTTGTGATACCCTGCGTAGAGATAGATCCGCAGTAAGCTGTTGATTGCAAGTGCAACGCTCCATGTTTTCCTGTGTCATCCCATCCGACTTATTTGCAACTTTGTAGAAATGATATGCGGGGACCCTTGCTCTTGGCGGAGGGGCCATGCCGCCATACAGCTGTCTGATGTTGGGTCGAGATGCAATGGCACGATTGCTAGCAAGCACTTTTGCTCCATAACTGTGAGGAGAGTTGGGCTTCTTACATGTGATAAAATGAGCTCAGGTCTCCGAGGCTGGGCACGTTCTCAAACCCAGCCACTCAAGTGTCCCATCAATTTTCTTCCCCAAAATCGGTCGCAACAATGATCTCAGCGTTCGTGTTGCTGGCTTACTAGTTGATATTTCTTGCATTAGACCTCAATCAGTCAGGATGGTGACCGGTGTACATTGAATGACAGATCGCTTGTACGGGTAGCAGCGCGGTGTTACGTTCGACCATCACACTCATGCATAACTGCATAGCAACGATTGAACGCACGATACACCAATAGAAGGGCTATGATTGGCCATGGCCAAAATCTTGGCAACGGCCAGGGCCTTCTCGAGGATCTATACTCAATCTAGACTCCAGGATTCGGAACATAACATTACAACTGACGTGTGAGTTCCAACGGGCGTGGCGACGGGTGAACGGGAGGCTGATTCCGCGACTTTTGAGCAAACTTGGCGGATCTTTTGGACTTTGCCAACCGGGGACCTGGTTCTCCAGTGGGTATCTTTCTACACCGGGATTGAAATTGGTGTGCTCCGGTTCGCTTGAGAAGCTCGGTTGCTTTTTGAGTAGGGATCTAGATTGTGGAGCCCAAACGCAGTTTGCTGGAGAACGTGTTGGTTCACGAGCAGAGCCAGGGAACAAAATACCAACCAACCTAGTGAATTTGGTTACAGACGAGGAAGTCATTACGTGTCCCTCCGCCGAGCTCGTCTAAGACTAGGATAATTCCACAGGGAGCAACCAACACGAGACTCTGCGTAGCTTTGCTTGAATGTCTCACGCTACTAATGGCGACATAGACTGAAGGACGTCTGGTGTTTAGACGTCGCTAACTCCGTCTTTTGTTGATGATCTAGACTAACACTATTTGATGTCTTGCAGAAACACCTATGGATCAAGGCTGTGTTTTCCGTATCGGAAACCCCCAAGATCGATCTGTGCAATTAGATTCCCCAAATCCACCATGAAAATTTCGTCTCAGAAGAAAAACGACATCTGGGCCCTTGGGATGCCGGAAATGCACCAAGGACCTCCTTCTACCTTGGCAAACAAGGCCCCTGGTGACAGAAAATCAACACCCTTATGTGTTTGCCAGAGATCGGTTGTAGGAACATGCGGCAGGGTCACAAGTCCCGGACACCAGCAGAGTCGAAGAAGCGTCCCCGGTCTTATGTTGGAGCTCATGGCTGGCAGTGTTGATTGATACGTACCAGCCGTTAAAGCTTGTGTGTATCCCAGTGCCCCTATAATACCGTGAGAGAATGTTTGGACATGCTGTACCTCTCAAATCAACTGTGTGGAGTTGAATTGACCAACTGTTGGATTGTGATGTGATAACCGTCCGCAAATTCCCGGCAGATCTTTGTAGATATCTATCTGGTGCATCTCCACGAGCTATGGACGGAACTTATTGCCAAAGGTTTCCAGCTGATGAAAGTTGTGGCCTCTCCGTACTGTAACATACTCTGCAAGCTATCAATCTCATCACCAAGATCGAGGCCATTCACAACACGTCTTCCCCGACAGAGTTCACTCTGTTTCTAGAGACTTAGGTAGTTTTTCTGACTTTGTCGCCAATCTAAACCATGGCGATGGACGGTGAGGCCTTGTGGGCTCTGCCTGTTATGTGGTCTATGACGGGACTCGTTTTTCTGTTTCTTCTTCTACGTATTTATACGCGCGTAGTGTGCCTTTCATCATATGGTCTCGATGACCAAATCTACATCGCCGCATTTGTAAGTTCCCTTTCTCTTCGCGCATGGCTCGCCCTAGGCTTTGTCCAGCCCAAGACTGACATTTGACGCATCAGGTTTTTCTTCTTATCTTCAACATGTTCACGCATCTAGCAGCCAACCATGGTTTCGGACAAACACCGGACGAGATCGGGAACATGGAGGAAGTAGTTCGTGCCACTCTGTTTGAATGTATTGGCCAAGGATTCGCCATTGTGGGGATGGCCATTGCGAAGTGGTCCATGGGCTTTTTCCTGCTACGAATAGTTACACTCGGATGGCACAAGATAGCTATCTGGACAGCAATGGTTCTTGTGGGACTCGCCTCTATTGGTAAGTACCTATTAAGACTAATGGCTTTACTGCTCATGTCTCTATCAGTAGTCTCAGCTTTGGATGTTCCTCGAACAAAAATTGCCCACTGCCCAGTTTTTCAGTCCCGCTGACATTTGCAACCAATAGCACAGGTCCTTTGTTTTTGGCTGTCATGCGTGCCCTTTGACTACGTGTACGATCGCAGAATTGAGGGAGGATACTGCCCCATTGATACGAGGCCGACTTCGTACATTCTATGTGGTGAGCTACATCTCTGCCGAGACAATATGAAGAGTCAACACATGCTGACTGTACTTTCAGTGTCTACAATTTTTGTTGATATGTTCTTCGCTATATTTCCTTGGGTGTTTATTTGGAAGCTACAGATGCCAAAACGCGACAAGATCACTATCGCGGCGAGTATGAGCTTCGGACTTATGTGCGTTGACCAGCCGCTTCTCTCTGCACCGCTCAGGGCTTCATATGGCTAACTTTTCGATCAAATAGTGCTGCAGCAGCAGGTATCAAGCGTACTGTCGAAGTAGAGGGCCTCTATACGGAGAACTACCTGAGTACATCCACCTCAAACACCTAAACTCAACAATTGTAACGAATACTGACCCATCCTCAACAGGAGACAGTGTGGGTTTGATTGTTTGGTCAGCTGCTGAGATGGCTATTACAATGGTAATTCCTACAAAGCAAGACCCGAGACTCCAATTACCTTACAGAAACTGACCGTCGCAGATCTGTGTCGGCATCCCCGTTTGCCGGCCGCTTTACAAGCGTCTTTTTCATCGATTCACGTCCGAGAATGCCAGCTCGGGGTACCAAAAACAAAATGAAGAACGATCCTCTTCGGTCCCTCTCCGCACGATTGGCGGTGGAATGGTCGGCGGAGGCGGTCGCCCACTGCCTCAGAGCAAGACAGACACCACCAACAAGTCGGACACTGATGATCTAAGCTTCAAGGATGCTGCGCTTGGTATCAAAGGATCTTCCACTCGCACACAAGTCAGCAGGGGAGACATACCGATGGATAACACTTCGGATGAAGAGATTTTGGGGGAGGAGTTCCGGAAAAGCCAAGTCAGGCAGACTGAGGGACGTGACTGTAACAGGTATGACGAACAAGAACCCAGACTTGGCGGCATACTCGTGACAGAGACTTACAACGTCGATCGGTCGTAAGCTACGCTGGAACATGTATAGATGGAAAGAGGACACGGCGCAGCAGCTGGCTGAACAACGAATCTTGCCCTGTCTTTCATTGAGCAATATTGAACCAGAAATTGTATAACTCATTCTTCTAGCCGCACTGAAGCATACTTTACAGATGCCTTTGATGCCTCTCGCTGTGGGACAAACGGCCCGCTGTCACAATTATTTTAACGCCATTCTATGTACCCTCATCAACCATCTTCCATGGCCTTCTCGAGCTGCTCCCTTATCTTAGCCATACTCGACTCTCCGTCTTGAATGTTGCCTACTGCAACAGTTTTTTCTCTTGACTTGAGCCCTTGGGTGATTGTGAGGTCTGATTTAGGGATGCCCAAAACCTGTACTTGAGTTAGCAACCAGTAACTAAGGAAAACCGCAAATGATGGGCTCCTGCCGCTTAGTTCGGAAATGCTACAGAGCGGAAAATAAGCTAGACTAGGATACATACCCCACTGAGCAATTTCACAACAGCTTTATTTGCTTCGCCTTCCTTCGCCTGCGCTGAAACGCAGAGCTCTACGGTCGCTTCTGTGACGGCGGTGACCCCCTCACGAACTCGGGAAGCGCCAGGTTTTACATGGCACTGTAAATATAGGGTACCTAAGGGGGATTTCTTGGTACCTGACACAAATCGAATTGCTGTTGACGCCATGTCAGATTGCTCGATCGTAGTGTTGAAGATGGTGAGAGACGAGAAGTTTAAGTATGGTGGTGTGGGCGGGCTTTTGAGTTGTTGTGGAGAGCGAGGTTCGGATGAGGATGCCTGATTGGTCCCTTAAAAGCATGCCACGAGATACTGTCATATGTGACTTCCAACCTAAATTTGCCTTCCAAGCTTGTGTTTGTCTAGTTGGAGCAGAATTTCGAACAGGGCATCAGAGAGCTTATCATCGAAACCCACTCTGCAGAACATGATACCGTCGGTACTTGCATAATTGAAGTGGCAATGCGCTGAAGCCCGGGCTATTTTGAGTCCAGAGGCGGGTATTCAGCACGACTACGATTGACAACTGACACAAAGGGATAACGCTAGAACATGATTTCGAGATTAATCCAAACCGTAGAATTGTTGCCAAACTTTTTGTTGTCTGTTACCAGAAGTTTTGTCTAATGATCTAATGAAATTCTGCTCGAAGGAGTCCTGATCAATTTGATTTCCCCCCATCGCTTTCTTCTTACGCCGTCAGGCCAGTGAATCCAAGACAATTTTGTGTCGCTTGCTTATTGAGTATCGTTAACTTACAAAGAAGCCTGTTGAGTCTGCTGTACGACATTTGTAATAACTCTGCCCGCCTTATTTGATTGAGAAGAATGGGCTCGGAGCTCCTCCTTCTCGAGGAGGGTAAGACGATTCTCCGCATGCATTCTCTTAGTGGTAATTCTCTCAGGGTAATTCCTCAGGAACATGTTGGTAAAGTGACTGCCGTAGTGGATCCCCTCCTCGGGAGACTGGCCGACATCGTAGCCTGGCAGAGGTTTGGCAACGGCCTGAAAGCTGGGCTCATGAAAGTAGGCGAAGGCGAAACGATCGCGGGTGTTCAAGCCGACCTTATGGGGAGTAGAGGGCAGGTAGGAGTTGGTGATGTACTGCATGATATCACCGGGGAAGACTGTGAAGACGTTGGGAACAGGGGGTACGTAGTGCCAGCGGTCGTCCTCCTCCGCCATTCCAGCTGAGCTCTTTTCCCAGTTTGCGTAGTGCTCACCGTCATAGGGGGGACGGATGAAGAGGCCTGCATCTATGTGTTAGTTTCCGCTAAGTCTGACTCGCTCATGATCTCGACTTACCGCCAACATCATCTTGAGCAGCAATAACCAACAGGCCATAGTCCGTGTGAGAGCCAATACCACGTCCAGCCTTGCCCTTGCCGTTTGTATTATGGGTGGGAGGAAATCTAGTAGGATAGGTGTTAGTTGATAGGCGTCTGAGAAGACTTGACTGCTACTGCGACTGTGACTGTGACTTACCTGAGAATACGCATGTGATGCCATCCGTCCTGAGTCAAATTTGTGAGGGAGCCAGCGGGGACATTCAAGCCCAATTCAGCAAGCTGGAGCAACTTCTCTCCACTTTCTCCAAGGTAGTCCATGTATGTAGTCATAGGCTGTTTCATTTCGTAGTCGGGCCACGGGGCCGGGCCGTGGCAGGGCCACTTTGCGCGAACGCGGGGTTCAGCAAGATCCAAGTCTTTAGTGACAGTGAAGATCTCGGAGTAGTCCGCGATGCCATCGGTAATTTCCTCGCCGGAGGCGATGTAACCCGAGTAGCTCTGAGAGTCAACACAAGCAGCCTTTTCATCATGGGGTTTAGCAAAGAATGCCTTGCTTGAGGCTGTGGCTTCGTTGAAGATATGCTGCTGCTTGTCGTTCATAGAGACTTGGAGGATACCATCTCGGCGCCAGGCATCAACTAAAGCTTTTCCCATGGCGCGATCTCCAGGGCTACCTGTGACACGCTCAGGAAGTGTGAATGTCTCAAGCTGAGCTACCGTGGCTCTGTGCCCCGGAGGCATTGTGGCAGCCATCTGCGCGAGGTTGTGGTCTGTGACGGTTGCCAAGTCACGACGGGGGTGGCCAAGGGCTGACTTTCGTGCGCCGCGGCGAGCGAGTGTGCTCAAAGACTTCGTGATGGCTGACATATCTGTGATGGAGCTCCGAATACAAATTATTTCCAAGAAAATTTGGTGAAAGACAATATGCTGAAAGAGCAGTGGTGAAAGACTTGAAGTTCTCGATCTTTACAGCTTACATCTGCTCTCTTTATACTTGGCACTTCGCTCTCTGGGCCTCATCATAGCTTCTGTCAAACGGCATTGGGTTGCAATTCACATGCCGGAGGCACGTTTTCATTGTCTCAAGGACTACAGAAACAAGTTTAAGTTTCCTTCGGTATTGACGAGGTCTCGTTCATAACATATACTTGAACTTAAATCTATCCCATTTAGCAACAGAGGGGCGGTGCTTTAGACCTCAGGAGGTATCAAGCCATGCCTGGTCGGCATCGATTTTCCGTTTTAGCTGGTGTATCCCGCAGACGCCCAGGAAGCTATCAACGATGCTTGGCATCTTCATGGGTCGGGGCACAATGTCTTCGGCGGAATAGAGGTGGAACCCGTGTCGAGGTCTCCAGAAGACCCACTGAGTAACCAGGAGGAGTTGTCGAGTCAAGAAGATCAGATTTCGCAATGTCCCTTGCAATTTTGCAATTGGGCATCTCCACGATGGCCTGTATCTTCGATAGATGCCAAGAAGCCCACCGGCAGCTAGCTTCAGTAACTAGGGCTTCGTTGTCCTTTTAAACCGGTCCTGAAGATTAGCAAAAACAGTTGCAATAAGTAAAGCCCCTTTTCAAGTAATTAAAGAGACGATTGCCAAGTCTGAAGTCCATCAGAATGAATTGACAACTTAACCAAGAAATGTATGAGCCAATCAAGATCTTGTGAACTTGTGCGATACAGACAAATTGTGATCAAAGCTTTGGTTGCATTGAGCCGTAAGTCTAGGGTAGCGTGTACAGGATGATTGGACAGACTGATTTGTGCACTCCTGCAACAATAACTGTTGAATTGACCGCTCTCGCCGCTCTGCAACAAGTTACCCAGGAGCCTGCTCTTGCTCAGCCGCCAAGGGTTACCTTCCATGGGATCCACGTAGGTTTAGACTTTCTTTTCTGCCCACGGCTAAATGAGGCTCGCCCCAGGTGACACGAAACCTTAACTGATGCTTTGGTACCGGATTGGCTGCTTACGGATCAAGAGAGTTTCGCGCGCGTTACCAGACGAGCGGTTTAACAGTGTCGAGGCTCGGCAGCGACTCAAACGTTCTTTGATGAGTGAGAGGCGCGAGTCATAACGAGATCTCTTCTCTCCCGGGCTATGAGATGTCCAAGCCTCGACCTTCGCATCTGGTCCGTCCCCAAGACGCCAGGCCCTTTCTGAGGCCGTCATCTCCGGACAATTACCCCGGACACGGACTTTAGTCATCCTGCGTCGACGTTCCAAAGTGGGAGCTGGCCGCAAACCATGATTCGTGGACCTCGTACCTTCACTCCTTTCAAAGGAAACCTTGCCTTTTCTGGAACTACTGTGCGGCACAGCCGAGGCCGCCAAGTTGTCCCCATCGATGCGTCTCCGTATGATCCGTGACTCTAGTGTACGAACGGACAAGATTCCGGGGATCAGCTTGGAGAAAGGCGGCCCAATTATGGAAGGGCAATGTTGATTCTTGTAATTTTTTTTTAAATGGGATTATTCGAGTCTCAGCGCAACATAACAACCCGATAAGCTCGGAGGTTGACCAGAGTTACGATAACTGCTGAATGAGTCTCCCTCGTGTAAAATTGCAACGTCTCCAGATAATATGTGAGAGCTTCACCAACCCTCTCATTGGAGGTATGTATGCACAAGCACACAGTCTCTCGGTGTAGGGCTTCCTTCAAAGTCCGAGTTCCCATCCATGAATTCCTGTCAACAGGGATAATGCCAGTCCAAATCTACACGAGACGTTCAGGATCGTCAAAAGCTTGGATTCCCTGGGACCAAGACTTAAGATGACAGATCTTTTCCGCCAGTAATCTGATTTTGGCGGATTTTGATGTGCTCGTTACCCAAGGTTTGCTCGAAAATAGATTAGCTAATGACAAGTCCGCAATGTCTTGTCCCCAACCAATTTGGCATAAAAGTCTAGTATGTCCATGAAATGAGAATGGCTCAGGTTGCCGGATGTTCTGCTTGCTACATTTCGACGTTTCTCTTGAGTCGGATGGCTAGCAGAAGCCACGTAGTAGACGAATGCAGTCTGAGGCAATACTTTATGCATAAACTACAACGCGACAGGTGGTCAGGAGTCCCGATGAAGATATTTTGGGCGCCAGAACTGCAAAAGTCGTCGTTGGATCCGATCCAGAGAGTACTGATACCCGACAAGTTCTTGAACACAAGTTCGCTCGTCGTACAAAGTAAAAGGCAACACCTCAATGATGTCCACGCCCCTCCTCGAAAGGACAAAGACACATTCCCGGGCATCCTTCAAACCAAACTTTCTAGATAGCTCTATGGCTTCAACAACTCATACGCCGACGTCCATGCATTCTTCACATATCTGATATCGGGCTGAACTGACTGAAACTGGAAAATCTTTTACGAGATTGAGATGCTAGCCGAGAGAAGTCCAGATTGCTTGAATGAGCGTAAAAGAACATGATTTCGCAGGTCTGAAAAATGTAAGCAGCTTCTGGAGGTTCGACAGCGGCCTTGGCTGAAAGGAACAGTTGTCGAGGTTGAGACGAATTTTGAATCTGACTACATATGTCCAGGATATACCGGCTGTGAAGTTGAAGCGTCGGAACTGCCTCCGCATCGCCCCTGATTCCTACATGTAGCATTCGGCCGGTCGCAGAAACGCTCTCAAACACGACTTATCCGGGGTTTGGATTATCCTCTGGAGAGTCAATACATCCATAATCAGGCTATTAGGGAGCTTGTAAACCTAGAAGCGTAATCCCCTCGACGCGTTTTGATGGTTTCGTCGCTTTGCCGTTTGCTGAATCCAGTGTGAGACATGTGAGTCTTGGGGCTTAGATCGGAGTCATGGGTGATATTGTGATCTAGCAGTCTTCTTATGATATCGAATTCACGCTGGATCGAAGGTAGTAGCGGGAAATAAGGTTTCTCAAATGTGCCCCAGCTGAGATGGACCATATTTAGATATTATCCACGGCGGATACAAACCGCTCTTCCCGCTTGGCGATCTGAAGAGGCCGGAATATTACGGGAGCGCGAGAGGTACTCTTATGCTGATTCTTGGCCTCTTTTGGGAAGTCGAGGTATGACTATGGCCTGAGAGTTCATTTTAGGTAACCTGAGGTGGTATCGGGATTCACTGATGCAGTACGACGTCAAATGGGGGGTTGTATTAGATATGACAAGTCGGCGATGCCCGTGAGAAGACCCTAATTCTCGCCAGTGTGCTAGGTATGAGCAGGATTCTGTTGACATGAACCTTTACGACGGACAATTTTCCTTCCACGGTGTCCCTTTTTCCAACCTCTAGTTACATTCTGTTAAGGGGGGAAGGAGAGTTTGGCCAGTTGGAGCGGAAAAGACACTTGGCGGTTTAGGTAGGTCACTTTGAAACAGCCTATGATTCATGAAGCTTCAGAAACTGCCTAACGTCCCTGAATTCATGACTCTGGAGGATACTTCGCAAAGCAGGACATTCCGCAATTACTGTTTGTAGAAATTAGGGCACGATTCGACGTGAAAATTTGGGTTGGTACATGACAGAAGAGACGCTGCTCTGTTAGAAATTCGGCAACATTTCGTTTCTATTGGCTTCGTAGGCTTCTGAATTCGGCACCCGGGAATTTGAACTGCAGATTGACTCAGACGCGTTTTTGGCAGAATCACCAATAAGTTCACAGCGGTAGAGAATTTGACAAGTCAAACTTTAGCGCTGATGAGAGAGAACTTGGCTTCTACTCTCATGGACACCGGCTGATTTCTTCTGACGCTGACGTTTTCATAGTAGTACTTGTATGGCGGTAACAGCTCACACGCAGTTGCAAATGATTTTTCGAAAGAGCATCTTATGTGCATTTACCAAGAGAACGAAGGCTGCAGAGTGGCCATGCTTGTTGTGGAGGCTATGAACCCGATATGCACGCTTTGATCACCCACCGAAAGCTCTGAGAACAGAAATTCCGAGATTTGGTTGTTTGACACGATTTGTGCTTCTTGTAGTAACTGCCATGTTGATGTTAGCATACTCTGAGTCTGGGTTGCAATCATGCTATATGCACCAGGACTGGCGTGATTGTATGCTATGGTTTTGAGAGTGAGACTGAGTATTGTCAGAATAGACTGAAGAATTCAGGGGCCATGAGCTGGGAGGTGATTTCGTTCCGATGTTCAGAGAGATGAGAAAAGTAAGAGCGTCTTACGCCAATGAGAAGTATAATTATTATCTACTGTAGCCCTCTGTGTCAGAAAGTTCAAGTTCAAGTTCAACGCACGATTCTGAATAAACTGGAACTCCGGAAGCGTGCAACAGCAATCTTCGAGCCTGGGCTAGCTCCTTGCCCTTCGTCCTGACGTAATCCTTAAATGGCAAAATGATGAGTGACCAGACACAAGTCGTGCGGTATGTAACCAAACAATGAAAGTTTGACAATAAGAACACCGTAAAAAATTGCAGTTCACGCAGAGACTCTATTGAGAAACGAAACCATTGATTGCTTCCCGTGGTCTGGGCCACGTTTTGACTGATATTGTAATGAGCAATATGTATGGACTTTTTTGTTTGAGTTCGCTACAACTATTCTTTCCGAATTCTAACCCAGAAGGTCTAAGAAAGGGATGACCATAGGAGGAGTGGCAACAATAGCAAAGGCTTTTCACGATTGATCAGAATACTACTAGCACTTTTAGTTGTTACTTGAGCCTCCAGAATAGTAGGGAACCTGGGCAAAGGAAATATTCAAGTGTCCTTGGGTTGGTGTTACTCCTAGTCATGTTGCAACCTGACAACTTCCGATATCTGTAACGAGGGCATGTTCAAAGTTTCCTTACTATCGTCATTGTTTGTAACTTCAAATAAGGGGGGCAACTTCTATGTTACGAGTTACGGCGCAGCAGTAGGCGCGTGAAGTAAGCAGAAAATTGCTTGTATTTACCCAAATATAGCGAAAGAAGAACACGAGTTTACGAAGAGCGAATGTAAAAGCCACATACTTACCATTGCATGTCAGGGGCTTCTCGATGGGGCTTAATTTGCGTTCTGTTTGATGAGTGTTCTACTGCTACTAATGGAGTGCACACTCGTCGAAAAGTCCAGGCAATTCATTCATCGCACAGTCATGATCCTGGTTGAGAAGATGCCACTGTCAATCCTCGAGGGCAACCAGCTCTCTGGAGATATCTGGCATTACACAGGTCTTTAGTTTCCTTTTGAGCCGGGACATGGACAGTTCGTCAGGGAGGTCTCGAGATAGCTTGTCGTCAAGCCACCTCCGTAGGGGCCATCTATGGCTTCTCTCCATGTGGTTGGGCACTCACGGCCGTAGCTCTGCTCACTTACACCTCCTCGCCAGGCTTTTATCTGGACATCGAACTTCTCTCCCAACATTCTTACTCCTTCATACACCGGCTCTATTCGACGAACCATGACTGTGTTTGTTAACCACATCACATTTCACTGTCCCTTCTGCCAGGTTGGGATCAAGCCCAACACCCAGATGAAGCAGACCCAGATGGAGCATATAAAGGTCATAGCCACAAATGCTTCTTTGCAATTAAGTTGTGCCGCCACTTTTAACTCGCTTTCAAAGACAAGGGACCAGTGCTGCAACCAACACTTGTGAACTAGTATCCACTTTGCCTTATGTCTCTGCTCAGTTCATACGATCACACATCACGAAACGCGATGATCTTTTGGTCAAAAGGTGTGAATTGAAGAAACCCAAAAGAAATTCTGTCTGCTGCACGATCAGACGCGACATGGTGTCATCCCTTAAGTGCCACAAGCTTGTTGTTCCCATGGAAGGTGCAGGAAAGACAGAGCAGCTGCACTGAGCTCCAGCCTCAAGCGGTTTTAAGCCACAAACTAACCTAAGCAAGGCACACGGCTACTAGAAATAGAAGCAAAAGTAAAGACGTTGCTCACTTTGTTCTCAGATACTTCCGATGCCAGCCAAAGTTTCATGCTACTGAACACATGTACCCCGTACACTGAAACTTTTCGAAATCGAAAGCCCGAAGAGACGGTGAGAAGTAGTGCAAGATGCCAAACTTGCCAAAAATAATATTGGATTCTTCAACGCCGCGCTGGTTCGTTCGAGAAGTAAGTGCACGAACCACTTTGCAGGGTGTCTATGAGTTCGGACGGAAACCCCGGAAGGCTTGTGCTTAGGTCAAGCTTTTTCTATCTGGGAAATTGTCACGTAACAGGGATAGTAATCGCACCTCACGAAGTGCCCGTTACGTGCTAAATCACGTATCTATCTTAAATATCGTATATATAGACCTTTTCCTTTTATCTATTTCTATTTTAATAATTAAGCTACTTTTACTATACTCCGTATACCTATTATTACGTATTATAACTTATAATAATTATAAGCCTAGCTCTTAGTTAAGACCTTATATTACGATAACGTACTTATTAATACGATTTTTACGATCTTTTTAAAATAACCGACTTACTTATACCTACTTTAGCTTAAGCTAAATTAACTAGTTATAATAGTTAAATTAAATAGTTTAATATACTTCGTACTATAAATAAGAGCGTCGGGGTCTAAAAATACGTTAACCTAAACGCTCTAAACTTTAATATATTCCTTAACCCCTTTATAATATTTATTTTACTTTTTAAATTCGGATAATTAGTTATGACCTATAATAAAAAAGAACTACGAGCTTACTAAGC